TCGCCCAGCAACCACTGCGGCAGCTGCTGCGCGACCGCTGCAAACTCAAGTCGCAAAGCGCCGGTTACCATGGAGACGAGAGACCTTGAGGTTCGGGGGGGTGGGTCTGGTAGTGATGTTGCCCTAGCGACTGGAGACGCGGGCGGTCAGTAAGGATCCTGAAAGATCGCTAACCTCACAGAGTCAAGGAGCAAACAGTCCTTTGACGAACCCCTGTAGCCGCAGCTGCAAGCTGATTTGGGATTTGGACCCTAGAGAGGCAGGTGTTGCTCCTTGGTAGGGGCCGGGTCTTCCGAGCTTCAGGATTTCTCACTCGAACTGGCTTCCCAGAGGTGAAAGAGAAAAGAAGTCAGAGGGTGAGGAAGTGAAGGTGGAGTCGGGAGACTTGGGCTGCAGTCCCAACTATTTCCCTTAACTCTGTAGGCCTCCTCAGTGTTCTCATTTATGAAATGTGCTCTTGGTTTATCCTCTCGGTATCTAGACCCGTGGTAAAGCGTGGAAGAGCTCGCTCAGCAGCTCTGGCCACTAGAGGGTAGTAGAACCCAGTTTCTCAGAGTGCAATAGCGTGCTCTCAAGCACACACGCACGCACATTCACGGGAGGGGGGTAAGAATAAGCATAGAATATGTGTGTGTGTGCATGCCTGTGTGCTTCGTTGAGTTGGATGGAGGAGGAAAAATACCTGAGGCGTGCTTGAGGCTTGGACAACTCACTACTGCATCCTGGTAAGAGGAATTATTTCGTTTTGCCTCATAAGGTTCATACAGCACAAGGAAACTGAGGCACTGTGGTACCTGGAACTCAGGATTAACGACAGGGAGTTTCTTCTGATAAGATCCACAGAAGAAGCTGCCCAGCCTTACAAACTGGGTGGGGGTGAAATGGGGGAGGAGTGAGAAAAGCAGACTCCTGCCCCTCCCTGATACTTTCTTTTTGTTCACCAGGTCCCTCAACTTCTTGACTTTGTCCCTCCAGGACCCAGTGAAGAGTGTCAAAGCCCAGATCGGAGCTAACTCGATTCAGCTGCAGGAGGAAATGCAGATTTCCACTCTTAGCCCAGCTGTGGTTGGACCGCAGTAGGATCTGTGGCCCCCAGGGCTGGGCTATCAGGAATAATGGCTGCTACTTTTGCCTTTGACATCTATACCAAAGTTGATATACCAAAGTTCTATACCAATGAAGAACTTGCTCCCCATTATGCCTGAGAAATTGAAGTCATAACGAAGGGCCAAGGCTTCATGGGGCTGGATTCAAGGGGCCAACAGCATAGCGGGGCTCTTGGCTCCTGACCTCAACTATTGGTTGTCAGAGAACATGGCATCGGGAAGGCATGGGCAGCAAGGCAAATTAAACTAGAAGGTTATCGGAACCTGTTACCCACCTGTATCTGAAAGCTGAGATTTAACATTGCTTTGAGACTCTGCCCACCCAGGAATAGTTTTCCTTGTGCTCAACAGGCAGGATCCCTGGTTTTCCAGGATCATGGTAAAAATCTCTTAAACAAACAAACAAACTAACTTCTAATATCCTTGGCTGAAATCTGAAAGCCAGTTTTCTCCCTAAGGCTCCTCACTGGCTCTCCTCCCAACAGCTGGACCCAGATCTGACACACTCCTAAGATTAGGCAAGGAGCTAAGGGGGTGGGGTCGTTTGGGTTCAACCTGATTGGCCTATATGCCCATTTTAGGCTCTTGTTTTTGCCTGTCTTTGGCTGTTCTACGAGTCTTATTTTCTGCCTCTCCTCAGGAGAAATAGAAACTCCCCACCCCAGGGGCCTTTTTAGCTTCTCTCTCAGCCTTGTATTCCTTTTCCTTTTGGCTTCCCCTGTGACTCAGAGTCCTTAGCAGTAGGTGTCTCACTTGCACTTGGAGCCTGAACCTCACATGCTCCCTGTCTGTACCCACTCCAGTCCTGTGCCTCCTCCAGGGCTACCTGGTAGTGACAGGTGTCTATTGCTGCACCAACCCTAGACCCAGGGAGAGGAGCCACCAGGACTCCTACCTCCTCTGTCTAGTTTGAACCAAGGCCGTGTTTTGGAGGAGTCAGAAAAGGAAACAGAAAGTGGAAGGTGGAGGTGAGGAAGAAAAGCAGCCAATCTGCACTTGTGTGACACGTACTTTACATCCTAGGACAGCATCTGAAGTGGTCTATAATGGCCCTGTCAGTGATATGCTGGCTGAAAGGGAGTCAGGGAGGGGTTGGCTCCTGGTTCTCTGAGCTCACTCTCATCTGCAAATAATATCCATGAAAGATAACCTCTGTCCAGCAGTGCTGGTGGGCGAACATCTTTAAATGTTGCATAATCCTGACATGATCCTAGGGGTTTGGCCTAAATTGGCTGTCTCTAGCAAGCCAAGATCCCGAGAGCCCAGGTTTTCAGCCTCAGATGTTTGTCCCAGCTCCAAATCCATGCCTCTTTGCCTAAAATATTCACAAAGACCCATTTTCTGACCATGGAATCGTCTCTCATTCTGAGCATTGTTTGGTACACATAGAAAGACAAACATCTCTCACACAGCAGCTTGTCCTGAAGGGTCTTAGTCACACTTGGGAGACTCCCACAGTTCCCCCTGCCCACATCTCCCTCCCTTCAGCCCCTCTCTCTCGCTCTTCCATTATTGTTCTCTGACCCTTCTACCTTTTTCCCTTAGCTCATTCTGGCCATTTGACTTCCTGGCTGTGTACCATCTTGGCCCCGATTTTGGCTGTTTGCTCTTAGCTCAGCTAGAATAAGGACAGAGGAATGACCAAGAAAAGAAATTGCAAGAGGCCAGATCTTTTGAGCTCCTTTGAGGGGATGTGAGCTAGAAAGTCTGAGAGCAAGGTGGAACTGTAAGTAGGCTTTGCAGGAGGGAAGTAGGTATCAGGTGGGTTAGAGAATGAGGGAGAGGAAATAAGTATGAGGAGACCTTATGCTGTTGAGGAACTTGGCAATATTGAGCAGGGTGGTATCATTGGGTCACTGTTGACTGATGAACTTGGGGCAGAAAAGGGAATTGCCTAAGTGATCCCAGAAGCAGGCAACTCAGCATCCAGAAACGTCTCTTCAAGCCCTTTACTCTCTGCTTCAGATTTTGTCTTAACCACTTTGTCTCTTTGCATTCCCCCTCTTTAATAACTCTGTGTGTGTGCATATATCTGTCTCTCTCACTAGAACTTTTTTCTTGTTTCTTATTATTAGACTTTTTTTTTTTCAAGATAGGGTCTCACTAAATAGTTCAGCTGACCTTGAGCTCACTATATAGCCCAAACTGGCTCCAACTCCCAGTGATCCTCCTGTCTCAGCCTCCCATATGCTTGAATTACAGGTGTGCACCACCACACTTGACTTAAAATTAAAAAAAAATGTTTTTGTTGTTATTGAGATAGTGTCTCACTATGTCATTTAGGCTGGCCTTGAATTCACTATGTAACCCAGGCTGGCCTTGAACTTGTGCTGATCCGAGTGCTGGGATTATTGGTGTGCTCCACCATGCCTGGTTTCAAAGTAAAATTTTAAAAAGGACTGGGGTTGTAGCTCAATGGTAGAGTGCTCATCTAACATGTGTGAGACTCTGTGTTTAATCCCCAGTACTGCAAAAAGAAAGAAAGGGAGAGAATGAAAGAAAAATGGGATATGACTGGGTATACTGGTGCATACCTTTAATCCCAGCTCTTGGTATATGTGCTACCAAAGTGAGCACATTCCCAGCTCTTGGGGAGGCTGAAGCAGGAGGATTGCCATGAGTTTAATTGGTTCATTGCCATGAACCAGACGATATAGCAAGTTCACGGCCAGCCTAGACTACATAAAGAGATCTTGTCTCAAAAGAAGAAGAAGAAAAATGGGATATGAATCCTATCTTTTGGGGGTGGGTCTGTTACAGAAGACACTCATGCTCAGAAAGGAGTCAGGCCTTGCTGGACGTGGCTTCCACTCCCTGTGTCTCACATAGACCAAGACTCACCACCTCCCTCCTCAGCTCACGGGCTTCACCCCATTGTCTCTGGGACTGAAAACCAGTCTGGGCAGGGTCCAAAGTCTCTGGGTGCAGGGAGCAAGGCCAAGAACTTGTCCTGCTGCAACAGGACCTCGGGATGGGGGCTGGGAGTTGGACCAAGGCTCTGACCCTACTTCCCAAGTCCAGGCAGAGGGAGAGCCTGGGACCCTCGAAGCTAGGGCTGCTCTACAGGTGCACCACGTCCTGGCCTCCGACCAAGGCACCTGCACCTGTGTGCTGAGTGGTGACAGCGGAAACTGGGCAGAGTTGCAGTTCTGGTGACTTTGGGGTCCTGTAGAGAAAGGAAACTAGGGCATATAAGGTGGAGAGAGATATGCGCTTGTAACCTACAGAGGAAGAAAATCCACCGTCATGTTACAAGTGTACCAAATTCTACCCTCCCTATCTCCTACTTCATTCTTGTTTTCTCTCAGCTCCTGCCCCTCTAAGGGCATCGCAGTGGGGCTAGAGCTCAGGCCAGGAGATGACTGTCTTTGTCCCGGAGAAGAGCCACACAGTCAGCATGCAAGCCAGGTGCTCACAGACTGCAGTGCGAGAAGCTCCAGAGCACAGGCACTGCCTGAGGTGCCTCTGATGGCACTGCCTGAGCGGCCAGGCTGGGCTCTGGGCGCTGTTTCCATATGGCCCAACAGGTTGTCACTCTGTGGCTGGGTGTGGGGTTGACGCAGGTCCTCTCCAGAGCCCACTCTCTCACCAGATTCTCGGGACTTCTGTCCTGCCCCCTCCTCACTGCAGTGCTTTTCCCTGCGTTGTCAGCCCTGTAGTCACCACTGAGTCCTATGAGAGCTCCTACTTTTAGCCTGTCCTAGCCAGCACCTATACCAAGCCTTCTCTTTTTCTTTTTTTTCTTCCCAGTACTGAGATTAAACCCAGAGTCTTTACACTGAGCTATATCCCCAGCCTTTATTTTTTTTAAGCCTTGAGATAGGGTCTCAATAAATTGCTAAATTGCTCTGGCTGAGCTTGAACTTGCAAACCTCCTGCCTCAGCTTCCTAGAATGCCGGGATTACAAGTGTACGCCACTTCACTTGGCTTCCAAGAGCCTTCCAGAAGTGCCAGTCCATCCAGAGATGTGGAATGAAGTAATTAAAGCGTTTGTCTCTTAGCACATGCTTTGCTTCCTGCCTTTGTGGTAAAGTGTTTACAGAACCTTGGCAAGAGGGAGGAGGTGGGACTCTGCACACAACTGGGCCTATTGAAAAGCAGAACCCAACTGTGCCTTGCCTTATGTGCAGCCTTTTGCCCTGGGTGGCTCACTCCAGTTTTAGGGTCCCTGAGGTTGGGGGGATGCTGTGAGGCCATCAGGAAGTATGGTTGTTGGTAAAGGATGGGACTGGATATTGGGGAACCAGCAGATAAGAACACAGCACATGGCAATGTTTAGATGGAAAATTCTGGAAAGCACAGTGCCACAGGATCAAGGTTGGGTTCAGTAATCTTCTACTACATCAGTCAGCTCAAGGCCTTTCTGTACAGCCTGTGAGGAACCAGGGCAAAAAGCGGACCAGGAATAGTTTGTTCCACTGAGAGACAAAACTGTGCAGAAGTGGACTGCACGCCTATAATCCCAGCACTTGGGAGACTGAGGCAGGGGATCATCACAAGTTCCAGGCCAGCCTGTGGTACATAGTGAGTTCAAGGCCAGCCTGAACTACAAGTCAGACCCTGTCTCAAAAACAAAACAAAGGAGGAGGAGGAGGAGGAGACCGCAAACATTTAATCCACACTCATTTTTTTAACCTACTTGCATTCTCATTTATTATTCACCACCTTTCTCCCAAAGCCCAAGGGTCTCCCCACCAGCCTCTGACTCTTCTCTGACCTGGGATCTCTCTGCAAACAGGATATTACTCAACGGGAGCTCTCTAGTCTGTCTACTGGACCCATCCTCCTCCCCACCCCAGCCCTTCCTCCTGGACCCACTCCCTCCCTCCAGGCTCACTCAGCCTGACCCTCACTCTCCCTCTTCCCCTCCCCCACCCCACCCCACGCACCCTCCCTGACCCACCTCAGGTCCCACTCGCACAAACAGAAATCTCAGCATGACACACTCCAACTGGTTGCCTGGCCTGGGGACAGAGACAGGTCTAAGAGGATGCTCAGACATGCAGCAGGCAGTTAATGAACATCCACAGTTACACACAGACAGCTCTGTGTACGCCCATGACATGTATACACAGAGACACACAGAAGACATGTGATGCTGGCATAGAATGTGTTACGGATATTTATGCGCCGTCTTCCTTGGACTGCAGGCTCCTAGGGGCAGGGATGTGTGTTGGATGTCTCCATCCCTTCCCTTGAGCCTGACACTGAGAGGTACTCACTAAATGTCTGTGGAGGCTGGTGGTGTGGTTCACAGAGAGTATGCTGGGTTTAATCCCCAGTACAGAGGGGGAAAAAGATCTGTTGAATGAATGCATGCATGTAGGCATGCACGCAGTAATGCCACAAAGAAAAGTACACATGCTGAAGATGCCACCATGGCTTGAACTGTTCCAATTCTTAAGGCCCAGAATGTGGGTGGGAGGAGGGTAGGTGGTGAGGCATGAGGAGAATGGGAATTCAATACAGAAGGAAAACTGAATCCAATACACAAGCCACTGGTCTGGAAAATCCCCTGGAAGCCATATTTTCCAGGGTTTAACCCAGAGAGGGTAAGAAAGGTCTAAGTATGAGGCATAATCCCCAAGACCATGGTCCTTATGAGGCTTGGTACAGGCCTCGGGGGGGTCAGAGGGACAGGGATAGATGTTTGTCAGATGAGGAGAGAGGCCTCAAGGGCCTGGGCGGTAGCTGGACTCCTGTGCTCCCTCCCAGGCCCAGTGGTGTTTACTGGGGCCCGGACCTACCTATGAAGACACGGGGACAGCCCTTACCTTAACACTCCCTGTGGGAAGTCCTGCCTCCCTTCAGTGTGCCACAGGGCTGGAGTTGGGGTGAGCGGCCGAGAGGCCCCTCTGGGAGCTCAGAGAGGTTCTGGCTGGTAGCACTTTGGAAGGAGGAGCACACTGAATGGACAGGCTGTAGCTGGCTTGCGATCTAACTGCTTTCCCATCCCCATGCCTCAGTTTCTCCTGTAGTTCTTGTACCTGGAGGGGGGAATCCGTGGGAAGGAAAAGAGCTCCTCTGGAAGCAGGCGATAGGATCCAAGGTGTGATAATTATAATTATAACACAGGGTGCTCCCCCTCACCTCCCCCCCGGCCCTACCCTGCCCTGCCACACTGGATCTCAAAGCAGCATCGGGGTGGGGCTGTCCCCCTGGCATAGGTGGGGATCTGAGTCCTGAAGAGGGGAAGGGGTTTGCCAAGGTGGAGGTGGAGAGAAACTCAGGAGTGCTGGCATGCAGCCTGCAGGAATCAGCCCTCAAAGAAGAGGTCACTGCTGTGGCCATTGCTGAAAGCTGTGACCTAGAGCCAGAGACGGTGTCATAGCCCAGAGGCAGCGCTGATGTCCAGACCACAGCCTAGTTTGGGTCCAGGATGGGAACTCGCAGTTAGTCAGGATCTCTGCTCACTGATCCTACCTCACCACCTTCTCCATTCTACTGCTCATTTGTTCAGCAATGCAGTCCTTTGACAGAGATGCATTCAGCACCCATTAGGTGCCGTGAACCATCCCAATATCCATGACTGAGATGTGATTAAAGAACAAGCCTGACTTTCACAGAGTTCACAGGCCACAGCTCCTGTCCCTCAATTTAACTATTTACTGAATCCCTGGCACACAGCAGGCTTCAATCAATGTTTCTTGAATTAAAGCTTACAATTTAGTTAGGGAGATAAGATGCGCACAAATTATGAGCACATAAGCTATAATAAAGGGACCAGCAGAGGCTGAGGAAGAATGGAAGAGAGAAAGATTAATTTGGGGTGGGAGGAGCTGAGAAGGCTTCATGAGAGATATGGCATTTGAGGTCACTTTGGAGAGATTAGGAAGATTTGACAGGTAAGTGGCTGGAGCTCCAGCTCAGGGGCAGAGCCCCTGCATACATAAAGTCCTTGATTACTCTACTATAAACAAAAAAGACTTGACAGGTAGAGTTGGTGGGATAGTAGTAGAAAATATTGTACTTGAAATGATTTTCCCTGCCTTCCTGGCCTTGTGTGTGTGTGTTAGTTACTCTACTTGGGATTGAACCCAGGGCCTGCAAACTGAATTATATCCCCAGCCCTTTGTATCTCTCATTTTGAGGTAAGATCTTGCCAAATAGCTTGGGTGGATCTCAAATCTGTGATTGTCCTGCCTCAGCCTCCCAGAGTACTGGGGTTATAGGTGCAGTCATGCACCTGGTCCCAGTCCCGTACTGCATCTTGATTTCTGCTTCCTGCCCCTCTCAAACAGAAGGACCCTGCTGCAAGATTTTGCCCATAGTTTTCCTCTTTCATGTCTGTCTCTATATTTACCTATTTTTTTAGCTTTCTTTTTCTTTCTTTCTCTCTCTCTCTTTCTTTATTTTTTATTTATTTATTTTTTTTTGTCCCAGTCTGATCTTGCTCCTCCCTTTCACTAAATTTTGAGGGGATTCACAATGTGTTCCCTTCCTCTGGCTCTCCCATGTAAGCCAGCAGGCTTCTGTGTGACCTGATGGTCACTTTTCACATTCAAAATGGAAGCTCATTACCAGACAACATGAGTATCCTCATAGGAGCAGAGGGACATGATATTTGAAATCAAGATTGTCCTTGCAATGTCCAGACATGTGGAATTCCCTATGCCTGTGGGATAAAATGGAAAAGATATCCATGGAGCAGATGGAAGAGAACCCCTGCCCCATGCAAGCTGTGCTGATGCACTTTGGGGGCTCCTGGCTAGGTATCAAGGTGCTGAAGCTGTGAGGGCCCTGAGAGGGAAGCCAGGCACCTCCACATAGGTGAATTTCTGGCTCAGCCCTTGGCTTCTATGATACAGCACAGGGGTGGGTCACTTAGGTTCTTTCTCAGGGGTCTTTGAACTAGTTCCCTGCCTCAGCGACAGATGAGTCTGAGCAAACCATGATCCTAAGATTTTTGATGGTGCAGGCCCGTAATCCCAAAACTTGGGAGGCTGAGGCAGGAGGATCCCATGAGTTTGAGGCCAGCCTGGGCTACATAGTGAGACCCTATGTCACACACCAAAAAATTTTGTGACCTCTGGAAAGTCCCTTCTCTCTTGGGGTCTGTTTCCCTCTGAAGAATGCAGTATATGGGCCAGCGGGCAGGAGGATCCTCCTTTGTTCTGGACTTTGTTGATTCTGTGGCTCCAAAGCTAAGCCACTGCAGAAATCTGGGGAACTCGGCAAGGTCCCCAGTCTTGGCCAGGCCCCATGCTCCCTGCCGCCTTTGCAGCTCCCTTCACAGCCCCTTCCACACAGGTGAAGCCCAGAGCTGAGGATGGGATCCCAAGGCCCCCAGCCCGGTCCTTCCTTCTTCCTCCCTCCCTCCCTGGCGCCCATTAGCTAGCTCAGGCCGTGGGGGCGGTGGCTGCCGGTCTCCGTGCCAGGCCCAGCCCCCAGAGACGCACCTGTTCTGACCTGCTGAGCAGGTTCCCAGGTTTCTGCCGTCGTTGTTGGCCACAGCGTGGGAAGCAGCTCTGGGGGAGCTCGGAGCTCCCGATCACAGCTTCTAGGGGTAGCCGAGGCCGGGTGGGTAGAACAGAGCTGGATCCCCTAGCGGAGACCCAAGTGGGACAGGCAGGTACGTCAGCACCTGGGGACTCCACGGCTTCCTACCTTCTGGGCCGGTGGCTCATCCAGTGCTAGAGCCGGCTCCCAGGGAGACCTCGGTGGAACTTCAGAAACTGGGCAGGTCTCCTTCCGGCCAATGCCCCTGTCCCTGGGAGCCGAGATGTGGGGGCCTGAAGCCTGGCTGCTGCTGCTGCTGCTCCTGGCATCATTCACAGGTAGGACTTGCCTGAACCATCAGGACCCCGGCTTCTGTGCTCAGCCGGGCACAGGCACACACACAGATACAGGAACACTCACTCACTCACGCACGCATACAGGCATTCTCTTTCCACGGATGCTGGAAGGAAGAGCCAGTGTCTCTCATCCCAGGTGCCGGTAGAACCCCCAGAAGAACCAGTTGTAGTTCTTCCCCTTCAGGTCCCCTCTTGGGCCCCAGGCAGGTCACCATGTCTGGGGGCCCTGACCTCCTCTGCCAGAGCTTGAGCTGTCAGGGATGGAGGTAGATATGGTGACCCAGGGCAAGTGGGCAAGGGGGTGGACTGGTGAGGACCCTGCTCACCCCAGGCTTCTTGAAGGTACCTTGTCTGTGCTGGGGCTCCCGAGCTGCTGCTGAGAGCAAGGGCTGACTCAGGGCTGAGCTGGCCTCGGCAATCTTGGAGGAGGAAGCTGGCTGTCCGGGAGCAAATGGGGCATTTCTTTCTCATCTTCTCTTTAGGATTATCTCGGCTACCAGGACCGAGGTGTCTGTTGAGGACCATGGAGAAGCTGAGAACTCTTAGGTGGCCCCTTTCTTTCCCTGGGCGCACACACTGTTAGGTGCCAGGGCACCAGTACAGTTAGAGGGCTGGAGATCTGGGAGGGGGCTTCCTAGATAGGGTGTGGTCCCTTTTGTTCAGCCCTGGCCCCTCATTTCCTCAATCAGATGCCTGTACTTCCTGCTTGTCTAATGTATGTGGAGCAGACATAAATGATAGGAATGTGTCCTCTTCGGAATGGGGTCTCTGAGGGTGTGTGTGTGTATGTGCATGGTGAGACCATAGCGGGATGCCACAGGCTGTTTGTTGAGTAATGAATAACAGACTCTTTTTTCTTTGGAAAGATGGGGCCTATGTGACAGAACAATTGTATCCTCAGCCCCAGAAGCAGGATTGAGGGAGCTTTGGTTATCCAGCCACGACCCCCAAGTCTCACCTCCAGCTGAAGCTCTCAGGAAGAGAACAAGGCCTGGGTGACCGGACTGGCAGGGTTGAAGGCTGCTCTCAATCTGGTCTCACAATGGAAGGATCACCGAGCTAGCTTCCAATCTCAGGACCTGGAGCACCAAGCCCTGTCATCCCCACTTCCCATTACCCTGTGTCTTAATTTCCATCTTCCAAACAAGCCTTCTCCTTTGCTTAGGCCAAGAGGGTGGGGCCTGGTTGCTGGGGCCAGAGAACCCAGCAGGCACTTTCCTGTAGGATCTACCTACACCTGCTGAATGAAGTCACCCTGTCTCAGGACTTGGAGAGGATCAAAGAGATCACTCCAACTTCATTTTACAGATGGCAGAACAGAGCTATAGGCAGGTGAGATCTGCACGATTGCCCGTGTTAGCAGCATAACCAGGATTAGTGTCTTGGTCTCCTGACTCCTCATTGCACGCACACTGGGTACAGGGAGGGTGCTAGATGCTGGTGAATAAGACACGATTCCTACCTTCCTTCTTCATGAAGCTTCTCCAATAGAAGCCTAGGGAAGGGGTAAGGAAACCCCCTCCTAGTTAGGAAATGACCCCCGACCTTCCCCAGTGCCTGACTGAGAGGAGCTATGTGAGGGATGAATCCCGGCTCCGGGATTCCGGTACCTACAAAGAGACTGCTTTGCAGCTGTTCTGTAACTTCACAGGACCAAAGTCTGCTTTCAGACCTGGGAACTCGGTTGGACCCTAGCTTTCTAGCTCAAGGATCAGACGGTCCCACCTCTCCTGCCAAAGTTTCCACTCTGGCTCTTCTGAATGTAGGCATCTGCTTAGGGACCCTAGGAACCTGGAAAGTTCTACATTTCTGGAAAATCCTTGAATTGAGCAGTCAGTTCTTGGGTTCTGATCCCATGTCTGCTATTGAACTGCTAGGTGACCATGAACAATCAAGAAACTTAAGTTCAACAGATCACAAGCTAGGGCTCGACCTTCCGTCTCTGAAATCCTATGACTCTGATTGTCCAGCCCCTGGCTAAGAGGGTGCGCTCGGGTGTTGGAAGAGTGGATCAGTTTGGCTATGGTGATAGAAGGGGGAAAGGGTTCTTGCCCTCTTTCTAGTGGGAATGGAGAGGATCTTTCCCCAGGAAACTGCCTTCTTTGCTTTTCTGCAACCTGGCACCCCTAACTTGTGGCCCTTTAGAGCTCCGAGCCCCAGGGCCCTGCCCCACCCCTGACAGGGAGAGAAGCCCAGGCTTGGGAGGCGCCTCCAACACCACAGCTCTTTGTCTCTCCTTAATGGGATGAGTTTCCGGGTGAGGTCCCCTCCCTTCTCCCTCCCCCATCTCCTGCCCTGGGGGTTTAAAGACCCAAATCTGAGAGATGCCCGTGAGGATCCTGGTCCCTAGGTCTATGTCTGGGCCCAGTAGGCCCTGCAAGGCCAGAGAGTGAGACTCAGAGAATGCTGTGAGTCCTGAGCTCTGTCCTCTTACGTAGTTAGCATCGCTTTCTGTCTGAGGTCAGCTTTTTAGAAAGGGAGGGGCCCATCCCGCTTTTCTACTCCTATTTACGGAGGGGAGCAGGCCCTTTCCTGTAGGACCTACCCAAACCCAGAGAAGCCAGAAAGGGAGGTTTTCTTCCCCACCCAAGTGGTAAGAACTAGGAGAATCCCAGGGAAGCCCTTGGACCCAGTGACCTTGGCTCTACCCTCATGTTTGAGGGAGCTGGGCTGAGAAGACCCCAGCCACAAAGATGGGGGTGAGGAGCATAGAGTCCACAGTCCCGTTTCTGGACCACAGCCTCAGAATTCTGAGATCCTCCAGACAAAATGAGTGGAGTCAGCCGTCCTGGGGAGCAACGTGTGTGTGTGTGTGTGTGTGTGTGTGTGTGTGTGTGTGTGTCCGTGTGTCCATCTTTTTGGCCTTCAAAACATGCCCTTGCACTGCCCACAAATTCTAGGCAGAGAGAAGGAAGGAGGTGAAGCAGGGCAACTGAGTCAGGAGGGAAGGGAGTAGAGGAGCCCGAGGGTCTGGATCTGGAACAGCATCTATGAGACAGGTTCAGAACAAGGAATCATCTGAGCCTCCCAGAGGAGGGCTGTGGAGAGGGCACCTGGATCGCTCTCATTGGGATAGGAGACAACGGGGAGCCATGGGCCTTGGAGCTTTTCCCATGGTTTCTTACCCACCCCACCCTGTGTGTCCTGAGAGCTGGGCTCGAGACTGAGTTGGCG